TTTTTTTTTTTTTTTAATAGGATAGAAAAAAAGAAAAGACAAAGTAAGACTCCAAAATATAAGAAATATATACAAATAGAGCACACTTCAAAACACCCGGCCACTGTCTGTTCACCTGCAAAGAACATGACAAAACACAGCAACAAAATACATATGTATAAAGAACTTAAAATATTCATGGCTTTGCAGTAAGTTTCAATAAATATATATACCCATACCTACGCCTATATACATACATACATACATACATACACATGAATATACACTCACATACATATCTATATATCTACATATAAAGCCTACATAAACATCCCTGCTTCTATTTGTGTGTGGTTGTGAGCATGCATAAGTGTATAAGGCTTCTCTAATAGAACATTTATTAGTAATTGTGAAGCAGCAGAGACCCGACCCCCAAGACCAGAGGCAGACGAAAAAGTGGGGACCAGAGCCCAAGACCCCAGGAGGGACCCCGACCGCGGAGCCCCCAGAGCCACCCACACAGGGCGAACCACCCACCCACCCCCCAGAAGGGACCACAGGGGAGAACCGGAAGACCCCCACCAGCAACCACATACAGTGACCCCCCGGGGCCAACAGCGACAAACTCATAGGCCTCCGTCGGCACCCGCCACACCGATGTAGGTCCAGGTCCAGGCACCGAGGCCCGGGCACCGAGGACTCACACCACCCAGGCCAAGGCCTGACAGGGCCAGAGGACCCGAGCCCCACCAGGCAGACACCAGGCCGAGCCGACACACGCCCAAGCGCCCATATAGCATGACCATAACTTAAGTCTGTGTGAGCAGATGAGTAAGTATGAACACAGCAGGGTGAAATAAATCACCAGCAACATGTGCTTTTTTCACAGTGATTATTCTTCTGTGCAGCCTTCACCACTCTCTGCAAAGCATTTCTTTCTGCAGCTGTGCAGCCTCCATGCCACACGTTGATGCTCTAGCACAGGATGCTCTCCACTGCACACCTGTAGAAGGAGGTGAGGACTGAGCTTCCCAGACCAGCTCGTCTCATCCACCTGAGGAAGTAGAGTCTCTGATGAGCTTTCTTGATCAGACTGGTGGTGTTGTTGCTCCAGCTGAGGTTGTCATTCAGGTGTACCACCCAAGTACTTGTAGCTGGAGACCACTTCCACTGCAGATCCTCTTATGTTCAGGGGGGAGTAGGTGTGTTTGTTCCTTCTGAAGTTCACAATCATCTCCTTTGCCTTCTTCACATTGATGTGAAGGTTATTCTCTCTGCACCAGCT